ATGATCGTGATCATGAATGTAATGTACTTTGTAATAACAAATGAAGAAATAGATGAAAGATAAAATGTATTATCAGAAATATGTTTGGTAATGTAGGCCGTAATGTAACATTGTAATTTGCCGAAAATTATAATTTAGAATGGCGACGAGAATGGTTCGAATAAGGTACCAGCAGCTTATGAAACCCCCTCAGGCGTCGCCACCACGCCGGATTCTAATCTTGCGAGACCTCTCCTTTCGCCCACCCCTGTCGGCGACCGTTCACCACTTTCAGAGCATACCCGCCTCCAAATAAGGCGACCATCTTCCGCTAATGAAACGGTGCCTGTGAGCTACCACCGCTGCGTGATGCCGTCGCCTGTCTCTCTGCTCCCTCTTATTCTTCTCCTCACGAAATCCTTGAGTGCTGCATATCTAAGAGAACCGCACCCCCTTGTGACTTATTACCACAGAGGGATTAGATTAAATTTTCAGTGATTTATAGACCATGAAAACAGTTGGTTTGTACATAAAAAAAACAACTGATTTTATGTTAAAGTGTACAGTTTTCAAAATTAAAGAAAATTAGATTTATATACTTCATACATATTAATGTTATGGTGGATAATATAGTAAAAATATCAATAATTGTACGCTAAATAATGCGAAAAATTTGAAGTTTTGCATTGCTCTCGAGTTATCAATGTCCAACGGTTTTTCTAGTTTTCATAATCTGCATATGGGGCATTCCACGCCAAATCAGACGGTTTCAAATATTTGAATTTTGGATATTCTCAATTTTTTGGTATTTTTTAGTACCCCCCAAAAGAGACTTCCTAATAAATTTTGAGATTTTTTTGATCACTGGTTCAAAAAATATCGAATTTTCTAAAAAACCACTCTTTTTTTGGTTTTTTGCTCGTAACTCTCTTAATAATGGTCGAAATTCAAATTTTTTTTTCAAAATTTTTGTTTTTAAATGCTCTTTTCAGAAAAAAATATAAAAATAATATTCAAATTATTTTTCATTGAGATTTTTTAATTTCAAGTTTTTAGTCGTATTTTCCAAATTTCATGGATCCGTTGATTTTTTTCAAAATTTGCTATTTTGAACTTCTATTTATCCTTCAACTTATAAGCCCAGTTCGGTAATGGTCCTTACATAATTACTATTTTTTATCGATTTTTAAAAGTTGAAAAAATTTTTTTTCCGCTATAAATTATTATCACTACCGATTTTTTAAACTCTGTATTTCTTTTTTACTTATAATAAATTGATTTTGATATATTTTTACCCCGAATAGAAATTTTAAAGAAATAAATAAACGCTAATTTTATTTACGAGTAACTATTAATAAACGTTTTTATTCATTTTCGTGTTTTTTTTTTAAATATTTTACATAAACGACCGTTTTGTAAACTTGAGTACTCCTTAGTTCATATTTTTCTGTCACTTCTGAGAATAACTGAATTAAATTTTTGAGTTTCTGTAATGGTCTTAGCGGTATTGCATCGCAAATATAATTTTTTTTTTGGCTCATTATAGTTTCTTTCAGGTGAAAATTTGACAACAATATTTGGTAGACTTGTTGGTCTCAACGCCCAGTTGTACAACTCTTTTTAACTGTGGTTATTTGGTCATCGAGTGGCCGTTGAAGGTTTGCTCTTGCTCCTTTTCTTTTTACTGTTCCTCCGATACCATCACATGACCCTTTACCATGTGCTAATGCGAAAAAATGCCACTCAGGGTCTAAGTTAGAGTCTTCTTTGTGGTAATACTTAAATATTAACAAAATTCTTAAATTTCTTCAATTGTTGAGGAGCTTCATCCGAAAAGTAAAAAACTTTAGCTGCATTGGGGTCTACACTGATAGAAGGATTTCTTAGTATTTAAGCAAATTTCTTTGTATTTAAGAAATCATTTCTTAAACATCATTTCTTAATATTTAAAAAATATTTCTTAGTATTTAAGAAATATTTTTTAATTCAAAGAAAAACTATAAATACTAAGAAATATTTCTTAAATACTAAGAAATATTTTTTAAATACTAAGAAATATTTTTTAAATACTAAGAAATGATGTTTTAGAAATGATTTCTTATAAATACAAAGAAATCTTCTTAAATGCTAAGAAATCCTTCTATCAGTGTAATTCTTTTATAAAATCGGTAATAATAATCTTCAGAAACACATGAATGGCGACTGTATCATGATTATTGTATCAAATTTAACACTATATAAGTGTGGCTTTTTTTCAAAATTTGACATTTTTATTATTACTAAGCCATTAATTTTGTGTAGTAATTAGCAGTAATCAATTATTTATAAACTAACTAAAGTTTCAGCGGAACGTTTCGATTGCGGAACAGAATCGAGATTTTTTCCAGTATGCGCACTGATAGAAGGATTTGTTTGTATTTAATAAATCAATTTATTAAAATCTTTTTCAGATATTTTTTTGGGTTGAAAAAAGATTTTTTTACTATTAACAATATTCATTAGTATTAACTAAATCTATTTTTTATGAGAACAAATTTTGTAACTATTAAGAAGCTTTAATGTATTGAAAAAAGTATTTATTTCCACGAAATAAGATTTGTTAATAGTTAACAAATATTTTGTTGGTGGTCGGTGTTGGTAGATGGCTGTACTTAACGCGTAGTTGTAAATGATTTATTTACTCTAGCGAAAAAATTGCAACTTGATTTATGCGAAAAATTTATCAAAGCAGAAGAATTTAAACATGTTGTAAAGTTTGGTCAAGTTGTAAAATATACTAATCTTGAAAAGATTTTTTTCCTCTTCTTCATCGTTGAATAGTCGGATTGTTGAAATTTAATTAATTAATTAATTATTATAACACTCGTAACTGTGTTTGCTTTACGCACAACGAAAAAATATGAGGAGATATAGTCGGTAACAGATAAGTATAGTTTATAGATGGCGCAAAGCGTGCCAAAAATTTTTCAAATTTAAACTCTAAACGTTGTGAGGTTTACACACATAATCAGTACTACTACAAGTTATCATCGAGAACGAGACGTAATATAATTAAAAATAAATATGAAACACAATAATCATTCATTCATTTTTTTAACAGCTTTTGAATAATCTACAGAATAGTGTCAAAGTGGTCCTTGTTCGTAACAAAAGAAAGTTTAATTTTTAAAATATTAGGAAAATGGTATAACAAAATTTTTTGACATTGTTGAAAAAAAAACTAACGCATAATGTTGTCAAAATACTTTTGAGCGCTACTGTATATACGTTGTCTCGGTTGCAGAGTCACTGCAAGAACTCTTTTTACTAAAAAAATAAACATATGGCCGATCAAAATGGGAAAATTCAGTGAATGCCAATCACGATGATTTAATTACAACTAAACGAAGCAATATCAAGCTTTGATATTAAATAGGGTTCTTCATTAAAGTTTAATGACAGAGCTGAAAAAAAAATTTGGAAAACGGTTGACTCTAAAGGCCATCCCTACAACTTCCAACTAATTCCATATCTAAGCGCTTAAAATTGCACTTATGACGTTTTTGAGCTTTTTAAGCTCAAAAATATAATTTATATTTTATTTTGAGCTCTCCGAGCTCAAAGAATTAGCTGTTCTAAGCTTTTGAGCTCTTCGAGCTTAAAAATCTGATAGAAGTTTAATAAAACAGTATTTTTTTAATTTTCAAACCGCAATAACTTCTGAATAAATGAACCGATGTTCACGCAGTTGGCAGCATTCCACACAGTTTTTCAAATTCTATGATATACTTTTGAACACCAATTGATCAAACCGAAAATTTTAGAGAAATTCGAAAAATTCACTTTTTCCGAATTTTTTCGACAACGATAACTCACGAACCAATCAACCAATTTTCACGTTCTCGGCGGCAATCGACGTAGTTTTTTGAGCTCTAATAATTATATCATTTCATTATAAACGATCCAAAAAGAAATGTCGAAGTTATGTAAAAAAAACAGTTTTCTCGAAATTTTTCATTTTCGATTACTCCCGAACGAATCAACCGATTTTAGAGGGACTAGTAGCATTCGACGTGGTTTTCCAAGTTTGAGAGCGGATTAGTTTTTGGAATTGATCGATGGAGCCTATTAGAAGTTATTCCAAAAAAACCATTTTTTGCAAATTTTATATTTGAGATTTCTCAAAATCTAGAGAATCGAATCGATTCAAATTTTCCAGAAATTTAATGGCTATGATACTCTTTGGATCACCACCTATCATGAACCGATCGGTCGAGCCGTTCAAAAGTTATAAGAGGTTTACACACACACACACACACACACACACACACACACACACACACACACACACACACACACACACGCTTAACGATAGCGGTGTCTTTTGAAGATCTTTTTTCGTACCTCTTTGGAAAAAAAAAAAAAAAAAATCACACACACACACACACACACACAGCCGCACGGACATCATCACGGGAATAGTTAGGACAGCTTCCTAGGACCTCAAAACTTCGAGATCTGATGAATAATCGATTTTTGAAAAACGAGGTAAAACCAATAACTTCCAGAATTTAAAAAAAATTTAATTTTTCTTAGCGGGAAGTTAAAAAAATGGGACCTAAAATTGTATATAGTATTTTCCACTATAAGGTTTAAAAAACGGGTTTATTTTTAACTAAAATTGATAATTAATTTACAAAGCATTGTTTTTAATTAGTTCAGTAATCATTCTTTTTGCCATCAGTATATTTTTTTAAACATTAGTACTAGGATTATAAATGAAATATACAATTTCTCGTGACGAGATAGGAAACTTGATTTTTAGGCCTCAGTAGAGCTATGCCTTCGCGCGATCACGCTTAAGGCATGCAAAATTCTTGTAGGTAATCAGTATTTAGCAGTTGAGCCATTTATTCATTGTTTTTTTTTAATGATCAATAATTGGATAATCCCAATAATCTTGCTCTCGAGAAAAAAGGCGAAATATAATTCTTAAATAATATATTTTGACAAATAGATAGATACATTGATTTAGTCAGTTACTATAATTGTTAGTGAAATAAAAAAAATTCAGCCATAAAAGTAGATTGTGATTGGACAAGACTAATACTAGTCTGAGCTTCTTTTAGGTGAGAATTAGCTTTTGTACTACCAATACGTCCAATATCATGCTGTATAATGTTGTTAAACTAAAGAAAAAATTATCTTATTAATTTCAATAGTTCAAATTTGATAACACGCCATTGTACCTGATACATTTGTAGTTGATTTTTTATGCTGTTTTTAATAGTGAATGTTCCACTGCGCACAAACTCATATCGAGCATCACTGTAAATCATACTCGAACGAAATAAATTTTACATTGATAGGATTTCGAATACACTACTTACGTGTCAGGAAAATTCAATTGAATCTCTATAAGAATATCTAGGATAACATCAACCCCAATATCGCTCTCAATTATAATATTGTCAAATACTTTCCATGAATCGTTAAAATCATCGGAACCATCTATTGTGCTGTTAAAAAGAAGCCTCAAAAAATAAGCCAAAATATCATGTTTCAACGTACACCCAAGGGCGTATAAGATATCATCTTGTTTATCGGTTATGTACTTTCGATACAGTTGATTCCACGTATTCAAATCGGCATTATGGACTCCACTGCATAAGAGCACAGGCTTATAGAAGTCGTCAATTCTGCAAATAACAAAAATAATGTCAACGAATAATATTTATTTATTATAACTCAGAACATGATGATTATTGATGTGTACGGATATTGTTTAGGATTATCAAGCCACTTGGTCAACTTTTCGGATGCATAAGTTCGACAACGCGACGACTTGAATTTACAGGCCCACTTTAGAACAGATGCCTTTTGATATTTCGTCAGATAATGAACGTCGTGGTAAGATTTGACGTCAACTAAAACGTCAGCTTCCAACTTAAAAGTTTGCTGCAGTAAATAGCCCTAGTTTTGGAAAATAATCATTCGAATTATCAAAGGCTTAAATAAAGATATGATAATAAATACTTTGAAATCTTCGTAATATTGAGAATTCCGCAATGGTGAATTGTAATACAAATGTTGTAGTCGTCGCCAAAATTCTACCCATGGATGATAGTCTGTTTCTCGGTGAAGATATCCCATAAGTTTTAAAGGAACATCGTAGTCAATATATTTTGTACTAGCAAGAACAAATGCATCATCAATGAGTTGAGCTCGGTTTAGGGGGTGGATTTTTGGATGATCGTTACTTTGAAGATAGTTTATGATTAACTCTCAATTACTCTTATCGTAATTGACCCGATAGTCACCTGCGGCATTCAAAAATTTTGCAGTTATTCAGAATGATAAGAAATTTATGAGTATAAATTATACCAAATTCTCGTTTGTTGCAAATAATCCAACTATTTTGGGGAACTCTGGAAATAGAGAGGCGGGGTGAGTCAGGATCAAACCATATGATGTCTGAAAGATCTTCAAAGTTGGGATAGTCTTGGGTAGCGCAGCTAATCGGAATCCAATATCTATCGGTCGATTTAGTGAATTCGTTTGCCTTGAACCTAGATTGAGTAATGGTAGTTCCGTTGGCTTCGTTTTTGTCAACGTAAATTACAGGATATCCTTGTGTACTCATCCAATTAATCAACGCTTTTTTTAAAAATACTTTCATTGGTTCCCTTTCTGAGGCTAGAGCATACTCGTCAATTAGATTAACTGATTTACTCCCTCCAAATTTGCTATAAATTTATAATAGTATATGATTTGGGCTTTTTTCAAATAATGATTGAAATACATTAAAAACTCACTTATCTACAATAAATCTTCTTAAAATATTGCGAAATTTATATGGTCCAAAAATGTTAGCGACTGTCCGCGTAATAAAACCCACTGTAAAAAATTATATGTTTGTCAATTCATATCGATATTAAATAATGATTAAAACATATTTACTTCTGTTCGGTTGGTCTTGGATGTTATGAAAATATTTCTCCTTTATATCCCAAGATTGTTCAATCTGCAATTAATTTAGAATAAAAAAAAAACAATCTGGAAAACTGTTGGCCCTGTATGCCATCTTTAAAACTTCCCACTATGTGCAAGTTCAAAACGCTCTAGTAATGATTTATTCTGAAGTTTTGAGCTCTTCGAGCTCAACAATGCAACATTTGTACTTTTTTAATTTCGAAGATTTAGGGATTGTTCAGACCATACTTTTTTGAAAATTTTGAAATGTGATATCTTCCGATCGAATCAATCGTTTTTGATAGAGCTTGCAGAATTCAAAACAGTTTTTGAGCACGAAAAGATTATTTATTGCCTACCAAAAGATTAAACGAAAAATTCTGAAGTCATGTCAAAAAAACAGTTTTTTGGAATTTAAAAAAATCAAGTATCTCACGAATGAGTTGATTGATTTTAGTGAAATTGGCGTCGTTTGATGCAGTTTTTTGAGCACTAATAAGTATTTTATCACACCAGAATTTAATATGCGTGCGCCTAAATATAGAGTTTGCATATTTTTTCATCTTTATGATATATTCGACCAATCACATCACGAATAAATTGATGCCACATACATTTCATCTTAGTTTTATTATAGAATAGAAAACAATTTGAAAAGAAATCACAGTTACGTAAAAAGAAACACTTTTTTCAAAATTTTGCGTTAACGGTTTCTCTTTAACCCACAAACCGATTTTGATGCGGCTTGCAAGAATCAACGTCGTTTTCCATGTTTAAAAACCAATAAGATTTTGGAATTGATTGTTACATCTGTTTGAAAGTTTTTCCAAAAAAACATGATTTTGAAAATTTAATTTCTGAGATTTCTTAAAATCTAATGGTCTAAATCGGTTCAAACGGTCTAAAAAATCTTTTTGGTGAAGCCCTTTCATACGCCGCTGAGTTTGTTCAAATCGGTTTACACACACACACACACACACACACACACACACACACACACACACACACACACAGCCGCACGGACGCACACACACATACAGCCGCACGGACACCATCGCGGGAATAGTTAGAGAAGCTTTCTCCTGCAGACATAGTGACATCCTCCTATGAATAGTCAGAACTGCTTCTTGAGACCTCAAAAAGTAGAGATTTGATGAAAACTCGACATTCAAAAACTAGGGGTGAAACTAATAACTTCCCAATTTTTTTTAAATTATTGATGTTCATAGCGGAAAGTTATAAATATGGAACAATGAATTGTTTTTTTATTGTTATACCTGGTCAGCCATACAAACAGCTACGTAGCGACGTAAATCGATGTTTAGGAATGAGTTATCAAACTTTTCTAAGGTAATGTCCGCATTTAAAATCCACTGGTCGTACAGTAGTTGAGATATCGAAATCAAAAATTTATTTCTGGTTTCAATATTCCCATAACCATCATTAGGAATGTTTTGTTTGCTAACAATCATTCAATAATTAGATAGTTAATCGCTAAGAGAGTTTAGTAGCTACTTTGAATTAGATTTGTACCTGAGAATTGACAGCCCCCAAAACAACATATCCCATTCTTCCGGGGCAGGTATTACGACGACATCAATTTTTTTGAGCACATAATCTTCATGATGGATACCTGTAATATTTTCCATAGCTCTCCACGCTTTACCTCCAATGGTAGCGAAAAATTTTCGGTGGTTTTTAGCATTTTTTGGAGTCCATACACGGTATGCATTACTGTCATCCGACAAATATTCTAAGTCACCCATAGCAAGAGCTACCGTGCGTACGGATAATCTTAGAGTTTTTTCAAAATGCGTCCACACGTAATTAAATTTTTTTCCATCACTCATTATTGAATCGAACTGGGTATTTGATACGGCTGTATATTTACGATTGTGTCTAATGGAAATCTCAAAAGTAGCCAACGTAGAGGGATCGTCCCAGCATGGCATTATTTCACGGGCAAAATTGGTACCAAAATTTGAAAACAATAACCATCTATTCAAATAATAAAATGTTTATCATTTTAAATGAGATTATATTCAAAAATAAAGTGTCAGAAATGTACTCACTGTTCATCGTCTGACTCGTCATCATAAGTATTGTAAACTAAACCTTTCATAGGTCTAGTATTTATTTTACCGCTGTAGAATATGTACAATGTAAAATTCCCTTTGGGTAATTTTTCGTTGAATTTGATAGACAAAAAATCTGTTTTTGAATCAATCGAATAGTCTTGTGTTGCCCATTTACGGTTTTGGTCTCTGACGGAAACCTCTCCAATAATTTTGAGGTTTTTAGCGTTTAAAGTTAATACTTCAGTCACATCTTTGATTTCAAAATCAATGACCGATTCACCGTCAAAAGTTAAATTTTTTTCATCTTCAATATTTGGACTTATCTTAATTATATAATGAATTGGGGATGCAATATCAGGAAGAAGAGGAGGGTCGTCATCTTTTCTCCATTCTTTAGAAAGCGTTGAAGTTATAAAAGTTCCGCAAAGAAGAATTTTTATTAAAACATTTAAATCATTTTTTGAGTCAATCAACATTACAGTCTGTTATTGTAGAAGATACGTTAATTAAAAAAATTTACTGTTTCAGTCAATAAAATAAAACAACAAACTTACAATATTACTGGAAAAATTACTTCAGGTATTTCTTGTATCAAGAAATGATTACTATAATGATTTGATTAACAATATTTTAGAACTATTATATATCCATTTTATGACCTTGAAACATGCCACACACTTGTGAGTCTTAATGTTACTGATAAACACAATAAAAAATTTATCTTATTTCGATAAAGCGGTAGAATATGCTTTCTTAGCCGATAATAAAATAGTAATATTGGTTACAATAAAATATTATTATACACTTATTTAGCCATTAAATTTTTTTTTATTAAAAATTAATTTTAATTTGATTTTGATTCTACATTCTCAATCCTTGAAAATTTGTCACTTAAAAAAAAAATAGTCATATATTAGACCGTGTCAAAATAACTTTTTTTTTCGATTAAATGTATCTTAAAAGTTTCTTCAATATACGAAAATAAATTATCTTAAAGTTTGAGTTCGATATCTTAAAAATTGAGCTGATGCAAGGGAGGGGAGGGGGGTCACCTTTCCCATTTAAGAATCATTGTGAAATTTTTTTTTTCTATTTTCAAAATAACTACACCAATAAAATTTTTTAAAAAATTTTGCTTTTTACTATCTTATAGGAAATTTAATTCTCTACAATATTTTTAATACACAATAAATCTAAATTGTTCGATCAACGTCAAAACATTTTTTGTCAGTTTAACTTTCCTTCGTTTTTATTGCTTGAACCATTTTTTATTTTACTTCCAGTGACACAGAATCATCAAATAGAGCTAGTATAGCAATTTGTTCCGATAAATACCGCAAATCGAGTGATCAAAATCATACAACTTGTTCATGGTTATTAAAAAATGTAAAGTTAGTGAACAATATTGCTGAAAGAGCAGTTGCTTTAGCTGAAGGATTCATTTAGTTTGGTACTAAAGACTAAAAACAAAAACAGTATTTGTGAAAAATTGTACAGTATCGTCGCAAATTATACCCTTTGTGAAATAAACAATATTACACAAATCCAACTAATCAACAGTGAACGAAAAAATGTATAAATATAATAATTTTAATTAATTTCTTTTTCATTGTAAACTTTGTTTTGTTATTATTTCGAGATAATGTTAAATTCAAAAATTTATGATGAATAATCAAGTATATTGATTTAATTAGTTGATAACCCGTGTAAAAAAAAATCGTCTTAAAATTGTCGTTCGTTTAAGATCTTAAACGTGACACAAACTAAGACTATTTTAAGACTCTTTTAAGACACCAAAAGAAAAATTCCGAGAGCAGATTTTTGAAAATTTTGTTCTCGAATTTGTTGTGAAAATTAATTTTTAGATGATTTTACGACTTTCTAACCGCAATATTTTTGAGTAAGATGTTTTTAAATTGAATTTAAAATTGTTAAAAAATTATTATCTGACAATTTTAAGACTTTTTTAAGACGTTCCGTTTAAATGTTCCGGGGCTCTGTCGCTGTTAACCCATCTTAAAATAGTCTAAATTTTTTGTTAAGATTTTTTTAAGACTAATTTAAGACAATTT